TTTGATATATAGAGACTATTTCCGATTAATTTTAATAATTCTTAAGTGGTCCTTCATTTATTGGGAGGCACTGTATAATAAAATTAATTGAATTAAATTGAATAATTGAATTGATAGAATTAGTAAAATTCCATTGAGTAACAATTGGATTGATAAGTTTATTTAAAACTTTAATTATACTTAATTTGTTTTATAACTAAATTTTTAATAAAATTATTTTATTCTAAAAAAAATTTATATGCATCAAAAGTTTAAAGATTTATAATTAAAAAAGGATTTACAATTCTACTATTACATAGTAATTTTAACATGTATATAATTCCTATTGCATGTGCAAAACCTTTGTACCATCTATTAATCTCAAGCTATTGTCTTATTAATTTATAACTTCAAAACATTTTTATTAATATAAAAGAATTAAAAAATTAAGCAATAAAAGGCATTCAATTTGGATTTAATTGGACTTGAAAATTTTTTGAGATTTTTTTATATTTATAAAAGAAAGCGATAATTGTATTGAAAGAAAATAGACAATAAAGACTTTTTCTATAAAACACTCAACTCAATATCTAACATTTTCACTTATCTTGTGTCACATGCACATTCCTCTATTTGACATCTCACAATTAGCAATCATGACATAGCAACAAACTCACTGATTACAACCTCTACATTAGGCAAGAGATTATTTTTCTAAAATACTATAAGAAAGACCAAATCCATTGCATTTATTTATTAGAACTCATTCAATAGAATAATACTTATCTTCAAAAGTTTATCCTTTTTATATGTTATAAGTATATTAGATATTTATGGGATTATATCAAATTTTAAAGATTTATGCCTATTTGATTTTATTAACAATATATATACATTTGAATTACTGAATTCGATTTTAGTTCAAATTGGATTCTCAAATCACTTCTTCAAGATTATTATATTTTCCATATTTTGTTAGGATATTTGTGATGAGAATGAGGGAGTTGTGCATGTATATTGAATTACAAAGACTCATACATAGTTATTCAAAACATTTTAAGGAATTGGGTCTTCAAACTTGACTAGCTTTATTATTTTTTTGATTATAAAGTTTAAGCATAGGAGATTGTACGGATACATATAAAAAATTAAATTACTATGAATATGTGTATTATAATATATAAACTGATTGCTAACTCATTCATTATGTATGAATTCATGCATAAAAATAAGAACCATGATTGCTTTATTATATAAATTTGATCAGAATATCTTGGCACTAGAACATGTATTTATATTGAAAATCATTGAAAGAATTACAATTCCAGCTTTACTAATAGCAACAGAATTATACACAAAATCATATGTAATGGCTGATCAATAAATAGAGGTTTCATGGAGATCTCAATTAACATTAAAGAATGCATCATCTTCACTGAACTCACATTTGCGTATCACCATTTTTGTTAGTATCCAGGCCTTTCCAATGGGATATAATTGACCATTAGGGATTTGAGCTTGGAGAGAGAAAGGAATGTAGAAGGAATTAAAGAAAAGGTTGCAAATATTTTTGCATGTAGTATAGAGTTCAATGCCATTTGTGAAATGAAAGATACAGCAAGAGTCCTCATCCCTATAATTATCTTGAAGACCGTTGGTTGAAAAAGCATCTATAACTGCATAATAAGCTGGTAAACCATGCTTGATTTGTTGAAATAACAAGAATAAGGATGAGATTTTTCACGCCATCAAGTTGCTTTTTGTACTTTGCAAATTCTTTGTCAGAAGCTTGTGAAAAAATGGTTTCAAGTGTTTCATGTGTAAATGGGAAGTCAGAGTATTCAAACATTCTAAAAACAATATGAAAATGAGTAAAAATATATTAACTACAATAGTTTAGATAATAGTATATGTTATACTTGTTGGATGGAGAGTAGGTAGAGTTGCTTATTGAACAATGCGTAAATACTACTGTATATAAAAAGTACTAGGTTATATAGCGATATGTAAATTCAATTTTTTATTATAATTCACATCTTTTCACAACTGTATTATACCAAATACAATGGCTAAGATCGAAACAGAAAGGGCAAAAGGAAAAGCCTTTAAAGAATGTGAAAATGGAAACAAATTAAGGAGGCGACAGATACTGTTGGCAAAGTTTGCAGAATATGAAAATGTGCCATACAAACCTGCCAACCGAAAAGTGTACACAAAGGGGTATTGTAGCATAAATAAACCAGGCAAGAGGTGAAAAGAACGTTTCAACTTTTTGCATGGTGAAAACTGGTTTATCGTTATAATATAATTCCTAATACACCAAATTCGCATACCAATATGGTTAAAACAACACAAACTTTAAAGATATTTTCGATGGCAGTCAAAGCTTGATCTACTGTAATGATATTGACCGCACATCACATGATATTGTCCGGTCAAGTGAGATACTGTAATCTCAATCATCATGCCCTTCAATAAATTACTGTACTGGGATCGTCATACAAGTCGATGATTTTTTATTTAATTTTAGTATTATGCATGCGCAGCAAAATAAACTATTAAAATAATATTTTGTGTTAATATGACTTTAGATGAGACAGGTGCATATTTAAAATGCTTGTGCCTTTTGAATTAAATTCAAAATTAAGTATTGTATGATTTCTATGCTTATTTTTGTTTATTCTTCTTGCACAGTACTAATTAATTCTTATGAGAATATTGGCAAAAGATTTTTTTGGAATTTGATAATCTAAATAATCTCACAAATTTTTAGATTTTTGTAAATGTGAAAGTAAATGAGAATTGATAACTAGCCAAAAGATAATTATTATCAGCAGAAAACAAAAACTCTGAAAAAATAAAAACTGACTCTTGATATTGATTATGTAGTTTAAAGAATAGGGTTTTGTTTAAAAATGCTTTTATTTGCCATATTCTTTTCAAAGTCTTTAGCCAGTACCATTGCCAATTACTAAATCTCAAAAATAAAATAACATTATTAATATTCTAATGTCATTGCTAATATCAAACTTTGTATAATTCTCTGAATTACTTTTTGTTCTCTTTTTAACAAATATTGAATTTTTTGTTAGCTAATGTTTCTTTTGTAGTTTTATTAAAAAATATGAGATTTTCTAAAAAAAAAATATTTTTAAATAAAAAAGTATATGAAAAAAGGTTTTTTTTTTGTTTTTATTATTTTTTTAATTTTTAAAATATATTGTTACACTTGATTTTCATCCAAGATCATCACTACCTCTTGTCCAATTTTCATAAACATTTACCTTTGAAATGTTTTCCATTCTAGAATAATTCTTGTATTACTATTTCTGTTATTGTTTAGTACTGTACTTTTCATGCTATTGTTGCTCTAGAATATTTCCTATTTTATTTACTTATCTTTATTCTTGTATCTTCGCCAGAGTATTTGTTTTTATGTTAACAAATACAGATAATTGTTCTAATGAATATAACATTTCTTTTATATCACTATTATTTCTTATAACTCATAATTATCATATACAAAAATATTATAACTTAAACATACATGTATATATAAAGGCTTTAATTTTGCCTAGGAATTGACAAGCTTGAACTTATATTTTATTGAATAAATATCTTAACCTTTACAAAACAAATATTTATTTCCTATATAAAAAACTCTCATCCGTTCACCACTGATTCTTGGAAAATTTCTTTTTATAGTAATCTTCCTGGAAGAAGCGCTCACTACTCCTCAACTTACTATCTATGCCATAAGTCTAAGGACATAAGAACTATAAGAACCACTGTTGCATCGGGATGGGACCTCTGGGCAAAGGCCAAACAAGTTTAGGAGTCTTGCTTGTCTTTTGTTTGCATGAGGAAAGGCCTGTGGCAGTCCTTCTTTATGAACTTGTCTGCTTCTATCTTTCATCACCAGTGCCCACTAGTTTTATTTCACCATATTTTTAACACTACAAACTCACTTCTTAAATCATACTCAAGCAAAGTTTCTGAATCTCTTGCTTGTTTCAACTCAACCTTAACTTTATCAACTATTTCTCTTCTAGCACACGATACTGTGCCAACTCACCATACACAAAAACTGAAATCAGCTTTATCCCTTCAAATGATTATCACTTTCTCAACAACCAATCACAAACTGTCAATACAGTACTATAACAATTAAACAAGTCCAAACTGGTTTCAAACAACAACAGCACCAACCCTACATCACACTACCTCAACAATTTATCCAACTACAACAATAACAATGCCAATAACAATAGCTACCCCACACTATACTGCCCCAACAATACCATCAACAATTTATTCAATCGCATTAATCTCTCCAATTCAAATAACAACAATCTCACCATATTTATGTGAAAATATTAGACTTTTCTCATGTCTTATTCAGCCCTTAACCATCAGCAATACTACCACATTAATAATCAAAGCCACTTACTTCTATTACGATCAGTTTTCCTCACAAGCCATCTACAATATCAACATCATTTTTATTTTCAAAGCACGTTATCTCTATTTCCTTCTCCTTGTTTCATGTGTAGTGCCTAGGGCTCCTAACAATATCACTTCAATACCACTTCAATACTATTTCAATACTAGTTCAATACTTAAATTTACTATAAAAACATATGAATAGGTTATAATCCATATATTAAATTTACTATAGATCGATACCATTTCAATATTAGTTCAATACCAGTTCGGTACTTTTTCAGAGCCCTAGTAGTGCCACCTACATATCAACAAGTGCCAGTCCAAGTTATGAGTTTGGAGGCCAACCTGATGATTATGGCTGCAGTGCCTTCATGTAATTTGACAAATTCGCATATTAGCTCTGAAAAGGTATTAACTATCCAACACTAGAACTAATCTAAAGCACATTAAGTGTGTCAAAGGTAGTAATAGTTAGCATCGTAGATAGGTTAACATTAATTTATAGATTTACTTTGTAAAGATATTTGATGTAACTCGGATATCAATTTATATATCAATAAAGTTTTGCATCTGATGCCTTTTTACGATTGAAAAAAAAAAAAAACAAATATCCATCACCTCTTTTGTCTAACCTCATACACCTCAGAATTGTACTAATTTGTACATATCTAGAAACTTTAGCACACCATATTGGCCCTGTCCATCTAAAGTACCTTCCTGCTACTATCATATACCACTGCATACAATACCCTCCCCCAAATACTACCCCCACTAATAATATTGGATAGTATTCAAGAAAATTGTTGCTTGATAATTGATTACTACCTGGGTATATTAATATAATAATAAGTAAGACAATAATATTTTAAATTTTATAATAATGATATATCCTGTCACTAATACTACCTCCCTTCTAGTAAAATACTCCCCGGATATTAATCAATTTATTAGGGGTAAATTAATTAATACCCAGGATATTGTATGCAGTGGTATATGGTAGTTCCTGAGATAGAAAAAATATATAACAATATTTATATATATATTAAAATGTAATAAAAATAGTTATTATAGCTTTTTTTTTTGTAGATAAATATTATCACTTTATTAATCATAAAATTGTTTGAAATTTATACATGAAGAAAGTGACAACATCTCTTATATAATTAGCTAGTTAATAAGTCTAATGCTAGCTTGCCTATGTGAATTATCTTAGTGGTAAGAAAAATAAATATAAAACTATTACACATCTGAAATAGTACTGAGCAGCTATGAATACCTACTCAGGGTTATTGACAAGATTGTTAAAGTTAGTTATTAAACTTTTGTAGTATAAAATAGAGTTGTAATTGCTGTTAATAAATTTATTTGTAACTAAAGATAGAAGATCCACTATTAGCTCACTATCAGAATTTGAATTAGATCTGAAGTTTGATACTTCCTGATTTGAATTTTTTGGGTTGGTATTGTTGTTGTTATTGTTATTATTGATTTTTGATCAATGAAGATTTAGATCCCATTTAATTTCAATAGTGGAAGATATGTTTGTTGTATTATATTTTGGTTTCCAAATTAGGTTATAAAGTAGTATAAGGCTTTCAGAAACTGCTTTGGTTCAGGTAATAGTATCTGCTGTGAAGTGTATATTATTGATAAGACCATACAAAAGCTTGACTATTTGTCAAATGTGATCTATTGGTTTGTTACTTTGGTCTGGATGTAGAATGCTATTTATACTGTTAATAATTCAAATTGTATAATTCTCTGCTTCGATACATTTAAAAACATGTCTGATGTCTTCAATTCTGAGCTCACACCTTGGGCAAAAGTGGTCTGGATACTGCTTGGATATAGTTGGTTAAGGTAAGCTCGCGTTGGAAATGTTCCTGAGAGAAGTTTAATATTGAATGATATGAGATCACTGTAGAAGTTTAATTGCTATAGTTTTTCTATATAACTAAAATATATACATATATAATCAAATCTTAATACTATTTTTTGTTTTTATAATAATAAGTTAAAAAAAGTTTGAATAGTTATTTAAATAAATACATATATTAATTGATAAATTTTAAATTTATTTTATAATAAAAAATAAATACCTATAGCAAATTATTATATCTTAGTCTTGTTTTTTTTTTTTAAGGGGCCAAGTTGCGATATACGTATGTACTTTATTGTGAGATCACTTAAGATTACAATTGTCTACATGTAAATAG